TGCATCAATGTACACAGTTACCATTCAATAAAAAAAAAAAAAAAAAAGAAAGAAAGAAATCTCTTCCCATCCTAAGGTCATATAAGATATACTCCGATACTTTCTTCCAAACATTTAAAGTATTGTTTTCTTTTTTTGTTTGTTTGTTTGTTTTTAATTTTTTTTATTAAATGATAGCTGTGTACACTAATGCAATCACAGGGTACAGTGTGCTGTTTTCATATACAATTTGAAATACTCTCATCAAACTGGTTAACGTAGCCTTCATGTCATTTTCTTAGTTATTAAGACATTCATACTCTGCTTTTTAGAAAGATTCACTTGTACCCTAAAGTATTGTTTTCCATGTTTAAGTCTTTTAACCTGATCTCAACAAGGGTGGAACATGTTTGTCAATTAAACCTCAATAAAGCTGGGGGTGGGGAAGTGGGTGATAGTAAATTTCTCCGAAGGACAAAGTGACAGGAATCTTAAATTCCTTTCTGGCAACCTTGGGGAAAGGGAGGTGAGGATTTAGGAATTTGAGAGAAATAGAATGGTAAAAGTTTAAGACAATTAAAAGGTAAAAGAGAACTGTATTAGTTTCTTATTGCTCATGGAAGAAATTAATACAAGCTGACAAACCTAGTGGCCTAGAACAGTACAAATATATTACAATTCTGGAAATCAGAGGTCCAAAACGGAGCTAAAATGAAGGAGTTGACAGGGCTGTGTTCCTGCTGGAGGCTCTCTGGGAGAATCTGCTCCTTCCTTACCTTTTCCAGCTTCTGCATTCCTTGGCTCAAGTAACCACATCCCATCCCATCCCTCAGACCTTTGCTTCTGTTGTCAAATCTCCTTCTCCAACTCTGACTCTCTTGTCTCCCTCTTATGAGGACTGTGTGATCCTTAACATAATCACATCTGCAAAATACTTTTGCCACGTTAGGTAACATATTCATTCATCCTGAGAATTGAGATGTAGATAAATTTGGAGGGTCCTTATCCTGCCTACCACAAGGCTCAAAATAATGGCATCAACTGAGGCCTGAAGGGGACCCTGGGCAGCAGGAAATTCTCTGTGCAGGGCCTCTATGACCTTCAGGACAGATGTCCAACATGTGCCACTTAGCCTTAGCCAATAGAAGGCTATCTAAAGTAGTTTTTTGTTAGGGATGCTTAATAGGCATTAAGGGAAATTGAGTTCTTTTTTTAAATTAGGCAATATAGCAATAGAATAGAGAACAGGCGGTGCCTGTAGCTCAGTAGGGTAGGGCGCCAGCCACATACACCAAGGCTGGCAGGTTCGAACCTGGCCCCAGCCTGCTAAAACAGCAAAGATAACTGCAGCCACAAAAAAAAAAAGCCAAGTGTTATGGCGGGTGCCTCAGCTACTTGGGAGGCTGAGGCAAGAGAATCATTTAAGGCCAATCATTTAATCATTTAAGAGAATCATTTGAGGTTGCTGTGAGCTGTGACACCATAGCACTTTACCAAGGACAACATAGTGAATAAATAAACAAACAAATAAATAAAATAAAAAATAGAGAACAGAAAATGATCCAAGGAAGGCAAGGTGAGACGGAGTTGAGACTTGGAAAAAGAGAATGTAGAAGGTATAGTAAATGATTCCTGGGGATATGTAAAACCGTGAGAGGATGGGCTGAGGGCACACTGCACTTCCCAAAGTTTATGCCCAGATTACCTGGAAAAGGAAGGGTGACACAAAGGAAAACAGGCATCCACATTCTCCCGTGGACTCCAGTAATTATCATTATTATGCTTTTTCAGGAACTAATCCATTGGTACTCCTGGACAGTTCTTCTGGAACTTCAATCTCATATTAATCATAGGTATATTTGTTTTTAAGAAATGAGTTTTGATCATTTTAAATCTGCATATAATTTAGATTAGATGAGAAACTTACTTAGTTGGGGATAAGGCCAATGGAGCTTGGGTGCAGTTTCTGGGAGTTGAATAGAGGAATAGCAGAACCAACAGTAACTGGGAGCTCAAGTCACCTTCTACCCTTTTGGAGTTAGAGATATTGATGGTTAGAGATAACCTTGGGTACAGGTCCAGGTCCAGGTTACCAGGTGCAGGGTAGATTAGGGAAAGTCACTTAAACTCTTTGAATCTCCCTTTTCTCCTCGGCAAAATGAAGCTAAAAACACAATTCTCGGGGTTTATGTAGACAACCTCAGATAAAGTGAGTATGGGCCCAGTACGCACAAGGAGCCCTCCAAGCTGTGTAATTGTTTTCCTCTGGCTCCATGTCAACTCAGTGTTAAACTCTGTTCCTCTTGTCTTCTAAGGAAGAGAGAGCTTGTTATGCATGACATAGGTCAGCCCTGGCCCCTGCACCAATCATCACGGTCTCGTTGCATCACGGCCTCCTCTGCTCAGGACCCCTCCTCTTGTGGATTCCTCTGACTTTGTGCCTTCGTCTACTGCGCCAGCGTCTTACATGACACTTCTCATTCTGGCTTGTTATTGTTCTGTCGGTCTTGATTCTTCTCGGGTTTAATTTCACTAGTTTATAGATAACTTGCCCCATTAATCTTTGATTCTTAACAGTTGGGTTTTTCATCAGCCCTTCTCAGCACAGGAAAGCCCAGTAACGTGAAAGCTCGTCATGCAGCACCACCTCTCACACCCATGCCTCTGCCTCCCTCTAAAATGACCTTCTCGGCTCGGCACCTATAGCTCAACCGGCTAAGGCGCCAGCCACGTACACCTAAGGTGGCGGGTTCGAATCCCCAGCCTGGACCCGCCAAACAACAATGACAGCTGCAACCAAAAAATAGCCGGGCGTTGTGGCGGGCGCCTGTGGTCCCAGCTACTTGGGAGGCGGAGGCAGGAGACTCACTTGAGCCCAGGAGTTGGAGGTTGCTGTGAGCTGTAATGCCACGGCACTCTGCCCAGGGGGACAGCTTGAGGCTCTGTCTCAAAAATAAATAAATAAATAAATAAATAAATAAATAAAATAAAATAAAATGACCTTCTCCTGCCCCTTCCCCTTCCAGAATCTCCTCCTTTCGGAAACTTCCCCAGAGCACCCAGCACTCACTTTCAGCACTTATCGCACTGGCCAAGGGGGGTTTCTAACCATTTTCTATTCTATTTTCACATAGATGAGACCAAATATGGAATGTGTAGAGACAGGTGCCTTTTTTTTTCTTGGAGACAGAGTCTCTTGGTCACCCTCGGTAGCGTACCGTGGCATCTTAGCTCACAACAACCTCAAACTCTCGGGTTCAAGTGATTCTCTTGCATCCCAGGTAGCTGGGACTACAGGCACCACCACAATGCCTGGCTTTTTAGAGACTGGGTCTCACTCTTGTTCAGGTTTGTCTTGAACTCCTGAGCTCAGGCAATCACCCACCTCAGCCTGCCAGAGTGCTGGGATTATAGGTGTGAACCACCACGCCCGGCCTGACAGCCAGATTCTAAATTTGTTTAGTCCTGCATGACATGGAATGCAAGCCATCTGTCTCAGCCTCAAGGACACAGCAACATCAGCGACTGATATCTGGGAATATTTCAGTGTATTTTTGAACCCACTCAAATCTTCTGACCAAAGGATATCTCCTGGACACTTAAACCCCAAATGATGCATCCACAAACCAGCTTGTTTCTTAAACATGCCGTATCACACTTGACCATCCCCTGGTCTGTCTTTCCCCTCTTGGTGCTGTCTCTATGGGGAGATCCATAAATGCAGGTTCAATTTTCTTCATTTCTCTAACCCTTAGAACATGTTTGGTACATAGTGAATGAAAAGCAATTTTTGCTTGAAAGAAAAATCTGAACAGATGTCTTTTAACAGGAGAAAAGGATCATTGCCCGCCCTTCTCCATCCCACAAGGCTGAGGAGGAGGTGAGGTGGAGTCTCAGGGGGGAGGAGGCAGCACCATCACCCTCTTTAAAAGGGGAGTGGCACTTATGCTAAGCCATGCAGAAGAGAACCTCTCCCCTAGCTAAACAGACTATGAAGGAAATATCCAGAAAGACAGACTGCTGTTGTCCGTACTCAGAACATGTAAATAGAAAAGGTTGCTGGATGGTGCCTTTGCTCAGAACAGAAATATCCTGGTTAAAACTCCCCTCTAGGAATGGGGTCATCAGTCACCCTCTGGGCCCCTGACCACAAACCTACCCCTACCATGTACATGGGAGGACAGGGGCACCTTCTCATAATCTAGAGATAGGGGGGCACAAACTCCTTTCCTCAGCCAAAGGGTTGGAAAGAACCTAATGATTCTTTCTAAAGACCAATCAACAGTGTGGGAAAATGGCAAAATAGGGGCTTAAAAATTCCATCTGATTACAAGCGATCACATTTCAAATGCATAGGGAGCCGCGCTGAGTGTGAGCACAGGATTCAGTCCTGAGGCCTCAGAACTGCTCTGTGAGCGCAGCGGGTGCAAACGTGCAGAGTGAGTTGTCAATGGCAGAGGGAGGCGGGGGAAAGCATTCCCCACTGTCAAACCAACTCTTAATGATAACAGAGATAAATGTACAAGAAAACTTTAATGCATGCTAGGAAAAAATGTTAAGAGATAACATCTTGGTGTTTCTCGGAAGCAGGTATGTTATGGCATTCCAGGTTCTCTTTCAACACAGGGAGCACCCGAGATCCCACAGATAGGAAACATGGAGAAGACGAATCCAAAGACACATGCGTCAGGTACACGCCAAAGTTCACCTGTGAAGGAATCGACAGCAGCAACGACAGAAAAGCTAGATTATTTTAGCAGTTAAGGTAACTCTGTAAATAGTGATGTTTAACTAAAATGAAGTCAGATCTTTAAAGACATGTTCTGGGACAGACCTCCTCTCTTTTATATAAAATACAGTAGGACAAGAGAAGAATCCTAATTTCAGACACCAAAGGTTCTCATTCTAAAGCAGTGGTTCTCAACCTTCCTAATGCCTCAGCCCTTTAATACAGTTCCTGTGGGTTGAAACCCACAGGTTGAGAACCGCTGTTCCAAAGTGTCCCCCCTGCCGTCACCCCACATCTCTTTCTTGCATGTTCTTTTTATAAATTGTTTTAAAATCTATTTTATTTCAGAATGTTATAGGATACAAATGTTTTGGTTATGAGAATTACTTCTGTACAGTCTGAGTCAAGGTTATATTGTGTCCATCCCCCAAATAATGTGCATTATAGCCACTAAGTGTGAATTTTCCCACCCCCTCTGCTTCCCTCCTCATCAAACATGTGAGCACGTTCTTTTTATCTCTTTCCCATATACTCTGAGCTTCCCACAGGTGAACCTTCTTCCTACTCTCAGCCTCTGACCACTACCAAGCTAATTTCCTTTCTGTTCTCTGATGTAAAAGTTATTTGGGAAAATCACATGAAAATTCTGCATTTTCCTTGAGAACAAGTGATGTAAGTTAATTTCTTCAAATTCTCCTGAATAAAGATGGAAGGTCCAAAATGAAGAGTTACATAAGTGTGCTCAAGGCCAGCCATCAATGCAAGTGAACCATTCAGAACCCTTTGGAAGGTTCAGTGCCTGTGCTCAGTGGTTAGGGCACCAGCCACATACACAGGGCCTGGCAGGTTCAAACTTGGCCTGGATCTGCTAAAAAACAACAATGACAATTACAATAAAAAAAAAGTAGCTGGGCATTGTGATGGGTGCCTGTAGTCCCAGGTACTTAGGAGGCTGAGGCAAGAGAATCACTCAGAGAATCTGAGACTGAGCCCAAGAGTTTGAGGTCGCTTTAAGCTGTGATGCCATAGTACTCTACAGAGGGCAACAAAGGGAGACTCTGTCTAAAAAAAAAAAAAACCCTTTGGAAAAATTAATGTACTCCCAGATCTGTTAGTTCCTATGATAACTGTTGGTCCTCTAATATTGCAGGCCCAATATTATGCATATGTGGGTAATGAGTATATGATAACTCTGCACTCTTTTTGCAACTTTTCTGTAAATCTAAAATTTAATAAGGAAAGATTTGTGCACATGAGAACTTCAGTGATACTGAGAAGTGCTACTCTCATGAACCACAGTATTTGTGCCCATCCAACCCTTCTTCTGGCAACCTGCCGGGAACAGGCTCAAGGTCCCCACACTGCTAGTCAACATGGCCTGCATCCCAAGACATGTTAGTACAACAGTCGAATGCAATGCCTCTGTAGACCACACCTATCCGTACAAAGACCTATGTAAATCAAATACTGTAAAACAAAACTCTGCTTTTGAAGAAACTCAGTAAATAATGCAGAACATTTTACATGAAATTAACCTGCCAATTTATTATTGGAAATAGATTAAATGTTTGCATTAATTCTGTTTTCTTTCTTTTTCTGTTTGTTTTATTTTGTTTGTTGTTCTGTTTTTGGTGGGTTTTTTTTTTTAGATAGCACCTCGTTCTTTCATCCTGGAGAGAGTGCTGTGGTGGCATCATAGCTCAAAGCAACCTCAAACTTTTGGTCTCAAATGATTCTCTTGCCTCAGCCTCCCAAGGAGCTGGGAGTACAAGCACCCACTATGATGCTCAGCTAGTTTTCCTATTTTTAGAAAAAACAGAGTCCCACTCTTGCTCAGGCTATTCTTAAACTCCTGAGCTCAAGCACTTCACTCATCTCAGCCTCCCAGAGTGCTAGGATTATAGGCATGAGCCACTGCACCTGGCCACTGCTAATTTTCAAAAATCGTTCTATGAGCCTGACTGCTTACTTGGCTTTCTGGAATCCTTTGCAAACAAAAAGTCCTCATGGAAAGTATGAATGTGAAAATAAATCTTTGCAAGGAATTAACATACGAGGAGTTCAGTTTTCATAACTTGGAACCCATAACAACATTTGGTAATTTTAACTTCAAGAAGGTGAACTTGTAGGCTTGGTTTAATGAAACTGACTGACTCTGTGCAGTTATTCTAGTCCCTAGAAGGAATTTTACTCTTCATGAGAGCCCTGCAGTGAAGAAAATAATAAGACAGTGGAATTACTTCATTTATTTATTTTTTATACCTCATATCTCTTCAATAAGATTAGAGAGTATTAAAAAATGCGTGTAATAAAAGAAAAAGTGAGGAATAGGATGAAAAGGAAAAATAAGATGGAACCAGGAACAAGGTCAGAACCTTATCTTAGCTTATTGGCTTTAGATTGTGCAGTAAACTCTCCACTTTCAGAAATGACTCAGTACCGTTATGGGTACAGTTCCAACATCAGTAATGCACCAGGGTCTTAAACCTGGGAGTCATGTTTACGCTCATGCTTACCTTTCTCTTGCGACTCTCAGAAAGTGTTTGAAAGACATCTTGGTTCCGCTGGCTAGTTTGCTGATCAATGCAAATCATCTGACATCTGTGACAAGGCCCCATAACCTGGCAGGTAAGACAGGAAAAGACCGTGTTACCATGAAACTGACCTGACCTTCCCACTTCACAAGGAGGGACCACAAAAATGGTACCTTGTCACTGTGACTGCTAAGGAATCATCCCCTTTTGTTTCTCAACAGAAACGCTACTCTACTGTGTCACTGCTTTGTAAAGAAAGAAAAGCATAGCTGAGACTCTTGATGGCTTTCAAGGAATGGGGGGAAATGGATTTGGAGAAGCAAAGCATGCAGAGAATGGGGGGACAGATTGGGAAAAGAGAAGCAGCCACAGAACCAGGGCTGAGCCTCTGTGAGAAAGTCATCAGAAAGAACTTTCATGTGTCCTTAGGCCCAGCAAATTCACAGCCACAAATGTAACATAAGAAAGGAACCGGAGGCCAGGCATGGTGGCGCATACCTGCAATCCCAGCACTTTGGGAGGCTGAGGTGAGGGTACTATCTGAGCTCTGGAGTTCAAGACCAGCCTGAGCAAGAGCAAGACCTTGTCTCCCCTAAAATAGCAGGGCATTGTGGTGGGCGCCTGTACTCGCAGTTACTTGAGAGGCTGAGGCAAGAGGATCACTTAAGCCCAAGAGTTTGACGTTGCTGTGAGATACAATGCCATGGCACTCTACCAACAGCAAAAGTGAGATTCTGCCTCAAAAAAAAAAAAAGGGAAAAGAACCAGAAGTCCATACACAGAGTCATGGGCAATGACTTGCACTCCTATTATATATAGTAGGGAAAACTTGATAACATCTTAAATATCACAGGAGAAGTGGTTAAGCAAACCACGCCACATTTATAAAATGTATATCATGCAAATATTAAAATCAATCTAAAAGGCCTTGAAGTCAAAGGAGGAAGGAGGAAGAAAATTATATTTGCATAATTGAAATAAGCAGAAAAAATTATATATGTATTTTTATACATGTGTGTCTATGTTCATATGTTCACACCACATACATATAACATGTAAAATGATATACAGTTTCTCAACATAGGTCATACTGTCTGGAGGAAATTCTACACCAGGTGGTCTACTGTGGTGTCACAGCTCACAGCAACCTCCAACTCCTGGGCTTAGGTGATTCTCTTGCCTCAGCCTCCCAAGTAGCTGGGACTATAGGTGCCCGCCACAGCGCCAAGCTATTTTTTTGTTGCAGTTTGGCCAGGGCCAGGTTTGAACCTGCCAGTCCTAGTATATGGGGCTGGCACCCTACCCTGAGCCACAGGCACTGCCCAAGTTTATTGCTTTTATAATGAGAAATTCCCCCCACACACACACAAATGTAAACATAAAAAAGGAAAATCTGCAGCTCAGTGGTGACTGATGCTTCTTTCACTGTATGTGTAAAAAGTACAAAAGTCCTTGATTTTCTTATAACCATTTTCTCCTAGGCTCACTCATGGGCAAATGCAAATTATGCACTGAAATTAGAAACACTCCCCTAATCGGGATGTGTCTGGGCCTGTTCCTCTTACATGTGTGACAGTTACAGATACCAGGATGAAATCTCTCCTGTCAGACCCAAACGAACTGGAGCCAAGAAAGCAGGAAGGAGGAGGGCTCACACTTGCGTGTTTCAGATAAGAACCGTCTCAAGGACTTTCTAAAATAACCCAGCAAGAAATTCCTCCTTGTCCTTCACGCTCATGACCTACATTTTGCACATATGCACATATTTTTATACCAGGTTTATCACTAGACATTCTTTGGGGCTGCAGCAACTCAGATAAGATGCTCTCAAAAGAGCGCTTGCCCAGTAACAGCACTTCCACTCGCGAACTGATGCCAAGTCTGGTTTTGAGCCTCCAATACCAATGAACTGTTTCCAAGCAGCTTGTGTGAACAGTTTCTTTTTGCCAATAAAAGCTTCCCCTTACCCTCTCCTCTTTGGATGTATCTGTGGCTTGCCATAGTTGGGCATCCTGGTTTATAATCCTTTTTGGTTACTCTTGAATAAATTCATCATGCTGGAAGATAATTTTCTCTGATTTTAAGGTTGACATTCACATTTATTGGACATTAAACCACTGGAAACATAAACCCCCCACGGTACCAAAGTCAAGATCCCTAGACCACATATGCAGTCAGAGTGTGCTGGAAGGGACTTCTACCCAGGTTTCAGCAGACCGATGACCACCTCCGGGCCTCATTTCCTCATCAACCTCCTTTAGCAGGATTTGATAAAGATTCCAGATACTGTTTCAGGGATGTCAAGCGGAGGCCTGACATTCAGTTGTGCTTGGAAGTGGAAACTCTCACTGTTATGTACAAGGACCCCTGTGATGGGTTGAGGTCTCTGTGAGATCACAGCCCTATGCTCTCAAAGAGCCAGTGGGGCTCTCAGTGCACAGAACCCATTTACCTTCTCAGCCTGAAAGTGGCCAATCCCCTGAGCCCATCTACTACAGAAAGGACACCAGGGCCCAGCAGCCACACCAGCCCCATCCCCAGCCCCAGGCTCCAGCTGCTGCTTAATAAATAATACCTGCCACTGGGGGGAAAAATCCGTCCTGGCTCAGCACCTGTAGCTCAAGAGGCTAAGGCACCAGCCACATACACTGGAGCTGGTGGGTTCAAATCCAGCCTGGGCCTGCCAAACAACAATGACAACTACAACCAAAAAAGAGCTGGGCATTGTGGCAGATGCCTGTACTCCCAGCTACTGGGGAAGCTGAGGCAAGAGAATCACTTAAGCCCAAGAGTTGGAGGTTGCTGTGAGCTGTGACACCATGGCACTCTACCCAGGGTGACAGCTTGAGACTCTGTCTCAAAAAAGAAAAAAAAAAAAAGAAAAGAAAAGAAAACTTCCTCCTAAAACAGTTTCTCAAACTGGCAGAAGGAGGAACATTTTCCAGAAACTCTCTTCAAATACCAATAAAAAGAAAATAGTTTTCTTTCTTTTATTCTTTCATTTTTTTATATATACATATAGTCTTACTCTGTTGCCCTCAGTAGAGTATTTTGGCATCATAGCTCACAACAATCTAAAACTCTTAGGCCCAAGTAATCCTCTTGCCTCAGCCTCCCAAGTAGTTGGGACTACAGGCACGCACCACACCCGGCTATTTTTAGAGATGGGGTCTCGTTCTTTCTCAGGCTGGTCTTGAACTGCTAAGCTCAAGCAATCCACCCACCTTAACTTCCCAGAGTGCTGGGATTCAGGCATGAGCCACCGTACCTGGCCACAACAATTTTCTTAAAATGTTGTCATTCCTAAGTTTTTTCTTTCTGGTACTTTTATCAATTGGTACTCTAAAAAGTTATTTTCTAGTATAAATTATTTTTTAAAAAATTCAAACAATGCAGAAGCTTGAAAAATTAAAAGAGAAAGTACTAGGCAGTGGTCCCCTTCCCATCCACACAGACAAGAGCTGCTATGTGGCCAAAGACCATCTCAGACTGTGACGTATAACTAACTGTACACGTGCACCTGTGTAAACACACTCACTGACATCTGAGCACCCACTTAGGTTTATTTTATTATTATTTTTTTAGGCTGGAGCACAGTGGCATGATTATAGCTCATTGAAACCTCGAACTCCTGGGTTCAAATGATCCTCCCATCTTGGCCTCCCAAATTTGTGGGACTACAGATGTTAGCCACTGCACCTGGCCAGAGTTCTTTCTTTTCCAATTACTCCACAGCACAGAATGGACAGCCTTCCACATCGCATGGAAAGCCACCTCATCCTCAAGTTTTACAGTTTTCACGGTGGATGACTTGGCTTTTCGGTGGGTTGAGACAATTCATTCTTCTCCTTTGAAGCCGTGTAAATAGTTTCTAATGCTTTGCAGTCAGCAGTAATTTTACAATAAAAGCCCAATTCACATAGCTCTCCATTCTATTTGGAATTTTTTAAAAAAGATCTATCTCCAAATATGAGATTATAAAGCCAATAGAGGTAAAAGTATTTATAACTTAATAATACCTAGTAAAAAATTTCTTTGCATAAAGAGACGTGCCAGGTTCATTTCATCTGCTTCAGAGATGAGTGCTATCTCAACAAACATCTATTAAGGATTTACTTTTTTGAATGACATGATATTAACCATATTTATACTTTTTAATGCCTGCCCTGGACTATATCGTATAGGGATGGCATAATTTATTGAACCAATCTCTTATGGTAGCTATTTAGGATATTTCCCAATTTTTCATAATTATAAAATGCTGCAATAAGTAAATCTGTAATACATGTATATATTTTTGCATACTTATATAAGTATTTTTTAATGGGATAGCTTTCTACAAGTGAAACTATGGAGTCAAAAGGCATGCATATTTTAACTTTCATTAGTTGTAGTTTTAGAACAGTGACCCAAATAATAGTTCTAGTTCTCTTCCCCTCCCTCCTTTTTCTTTTTTGTTTTCTTCCTTTTTTCCTCCCTCCCTCTCTCTACCTGCCAATCAGGTATTTTAGTGTCTATTTTGTGCCAGGGAAGATACGTAAGAGCAGGAGTTTTAAAACATGGCAGAGACACAGGGATATAAAGTAAGGAAGAAAAGAGTAAGTAAAGATGGAGGGATGAGAGGGTGGCAGGAGGGCAGGTGCCAGAGCCAGGTTTGTGGCAGAGAATATGGGAAGAGAGAAGAGATTATTTTCCAAGGTGGAGTAGCTGCCAGGGTCAAAGGGAGTCTGGGAGTTAAAAGATAAAAAAAAAGATCATTGTGACGTTATGTTGTATCATGCAATGCATCCCCTTCAGCCTGGATCTCTGGAATTCTTTAATAAAGATTCAAATTACATTTACTACTTTTCTGCATATTATAGGGGTGTTCCTTTTGAATGCAAAGCGTGGACATAGGTAACCCCCAAATAGTCAGTTTGCACCCCTGGCAAACTGACTATTTAACACTATTACACTACTATAGGTTGAATATCTCTTATCCAAAGTACTTAGAACCAGAGTGGCTCGGATTTTGGACTTTTTTAAATTTTGGCATATTTGCATTGTGTGCGTGTGCGCGCGTGCGTGCATCCCTGATCAGAAAATCTGAAATTCAAAATGCTCTGATGCACAATTCCTTTGTGTGTCAAGTTGGTATTCAATAAGTTTTAGATTTTTGGAGCATTTCAGATTTCAGATTTTTGGATTAGAGTTACCTAATTTGTATTATAAAAATAATTTCAGCCCCCATTGAAGGACTGAGCACATTCTCTGCCAGATGACCCACCCTTCTACCCTGTACTCTTTACCTTCCTGTGCATCTACCCCTTCAACTATGGCTTATTGAGCACTCACTCTGGGCCAGGGTTTTTCTAGGCCCTATGGGTAGAGCAGGGAACAAAAGGGACTTGGTTTCCACCTTTGTATGAGCTGAAGGAGTGAGCAGGCACCCTGCAGAGTATAAATGCACAGCAAGTCAGGGACATCTTTTCCAAGCAGGTGACATCTGATCCATAACCCTGGAACCACATGTCAGGCAGGACAAAGGTTCTGAAGTGGTTCTGAAGACTGATCTTACAGGGCCACATACAGACCGATCTCACAGGGCCACGTACAGACTTTAGCCTAAGACTTTTCTCCTGTTTCTCATATCTTTGAAGTCCATAGCAAATGTTTTGGGAACCCAAAGCCTGAGGAAACAGGACATCCTGGTGGCTTTGCCTCTGACTACAATCTGCCCTCCAGGAGGGGGAGTGGCCATGGGTACTAAGCACCATCAGGCTTCTGGGTCACCCTTGACAAGCTCCAGACAGCCAGAAAGTTCAATAAGCTTCAGGAAGATGACACTCTCATGGACACAAGCTTTCGAAGAAAACAGAATTTTAGGCCTAGATACAATGACAGCATTGAGGCTGTCTTTTAGTATGGGGACAATCACTGCTCCTTACATGAAGGTGACTGCTGCCACTCTCTTAGGGAGTAAAGGATGGATCATCTCATGTAGTATCCCAAGACGCTAAGGTCACATCTGCCAAGATTTTGTGGGTAAGAGACAAAGACAGGGGATGGGGGATTCCCACCTGCCACTATCCAGGTCTGGGATTGAGGACAACCCCTGAGGAAGGATATTAGGACTTCCTGAAACTTACCTGGAAACGCAAGGAACCAATTGAAATCTCGTCCCATTTCTCTTCTTCAAAAGCCTTCATTCCATTGGTAATAATATTGGCACGAAAACGCAAGATGAGATCTTTCACTGGGAATAATTCCCCCTTTCCATTCTGGTCACTGTTTAAAACATACCAAAAAGGGTAAGTTCCAGGACGGTGGTGGATAAATGTATTTCTGTAATAATTCAATGTACCTGCACACAATGCCTGACTTCATGGGCTCTACTCATGAGGCCTGGATGGTCAGAACAAGCTATTACCCCAAGTGCAAGGCCAAGAGACTCACAACTGCTAAACAGCCATCATGGCCTCCCCTGGGAGACAATCCTACCTCCAGGGAGAGGCCCACAAGAGGCAGGCCAAGGGACTTTGGAAACTAGGTGAATAGGACTCCAGTGAAGGAACTGGAACTTCTGTGAACTTAAATTCTATAAGGTTGGGCAGTATAAGCCATTCAAATACCTGGCAACAGCCTTAATTACCAAGGACCTAAAAAACAGCAAAAACTTT